GTAAATTATTGTATCGAACGACCAAATTCGTGATACTAGGACAACTTTGCATCTAGGAAATAGGCATAAAAATAGTAACTAAAAATTGTACACACAGAACCCCATGTGTCGGACACTCAAAGTATTGTTGTTCTATTAGACAAACGGTACGCGCTACATACTTTTAAAACAATGATTCATGTCACGAAATTGACGCTGTCGTAAGATTAACGTTTGGCCTTCGCTCTCATTTTATTTTTATTGCAGTGAATGAACAGAGACACACAAGTGATGACGTACTGTGAATCAAGGAAACCGACACGGGTGCAGGAAAGTGCGTATCGTAGCATGCATTTCCACAGGTAACGCGATACAAATTTCCACAGGTAATGCGACACAACGTATAATATACGCTCCTTGAAAACATGCAGATACAACAATATACATTTCCAAATAAATTTCAATAATATTTAAATATTATTAACTTCCTTTCATGTGTGTAACAAAATTTAGCTTCACGATCCTGTAAAGTACATTAACGAAGAATTCTACTAGTTGATTTGGTATGAATTAATGCTGCCATTACGATTATTGGAAATGATAAGGGAAACAGTAGTCGCGACGTTGGAGCATCCAACGTTTCCAGAACGGTTGAAAATCGTCTTCTGGAAGTTTGCGAAATCGCGATGCAACAGGTGACGCCAGACAGTGCGGGTCCGGATTAAAATTTATGATCGTCGCATGCATCATGCGACTGAATATGGGCGAGCTCGCTCCAGTTTCGAAGTAGATCGTCGTTGAGATTTATGCGATCGAATGTTTTGCGATGATAAACGGCGGCTTGAATATGAGACGCGTCGCTTTCCTGGAAAATAATCTAACAGTGGCTACATCGTCGATCTATAATACATTTCCATAATACAATTTAACCGGAGCGCGCTCTTTCTAGCGATTATTCTTTACGCAACAAGTCAAAGAATCGATGGACAGTTGTCTCCGTAATTTCTTGTGAGACAATTTTGTTTATATATGTGGCAAATGGGAAAACTGTAATTGAGCATTTAAGAAATTCTATCGTTACAGTGTAACGATAGAAAAGTAAGAGTGCAGCTTCGCGGAGAGAATTTTCTCTTCAAATTTATCCTGAAAATTATACAATCGTGGGACAACTGGTATTTTGAAGAATTTTGAAATTTTACCATACTTTTTACTAGTAATTATACTTAGTATACATTTTACTGGTAAAATGTGTGGTACAATTTAAAGAAACTCTCATAAAGTTGTTCAAAATGCCATGTTGCCCCACGATTACACAATTTTCAGGGTAAATTTTAAAAGAAAATTCTCTCCGTGTTGATATTGCAGAAAGATTAGGTAAACTGTTCGGAACAATTTAAAAGTTGACTTAACATTTTGCTTTATCTTACTAAAGAGATATACGAGGAAAACTTGTACGTTGTGATAAATAACTTCGCTCGTGTTGATAAATAACTTTGTTTTCCGACCAAGTGCGCTTATCTGTGTTCCTGCGCTGTCAAGTTCATTTGATTCCCATTCGCAACACTGTCGTTTCCTCCTCGTCATTCGATGCATAATGCGGATAAAGTGCTTACCAAGTAAAATGTATTACAATTTTTTATTTTAAACCAATCTTTTATTATTTCTAATACAAATTATGCTTATGCGTTTCACTGACGCTGTAATAAGTAATAAGCACAACGTATTATATGTTAAAATTAAATACACGGATTTCAAGTTATGACTGTTCCTATAATTAAAAAAAATTATCGATAAAACAAGTAAAATTAGTATATTGAATAATTGTAGCGTGAAACAATGACTCAAAAATAAATTTACTACAGGAAGAGCGCAATTTCCACGTATAAGATTCCATTGTATTAAGAGATGGTCCGCGTTATCGATATTTAACGGTTTCAATGGCACTAAAAGCTGCAATCGCGAATATTGCGCGCGATCATAACAGAGGGATGTCATTTCCAATAATTGGATATTACAGAGGCTGCTGTCTTATAAATGAAGAAAGAGTCCGCGAATGTGTTTTGTCAATAAAATCCCTTTTTAATATTTCCGTAATAAAGCCGGAGCGCATGGAATTTTAAAATAATATTTACGATAAATTCTCTTGCTAAGCTTAATATTTTCACGGTAAATAACCATGCTTAATTTTGTTGATCTTTCATTATAAACCAGATACAAAATCCACCAGCAGAGCTTTATAATTTCATTTAAAATGTTAATTATTTTGTTTATAAATTATCTCATTAATAATGACGATACTAATGCAAAGTATTAAAATAACTTTGTTAGAAAGATTAACGACATTTGAGAGAGAGACAGAGAGAGAGAGAGAGAGAGAGAGAGAGAGAGAAATATCGAGATTTATCTAGCCTTGAAAACAGAGTTTTCTAACAAATATAATTCTGCAAAGCACGCAGTCGTCCGTCATAATTAATCGATCCGTTTTAATCTCATTAGCATGACATTAAAACGCGCGATGTAATAATCTAATTGACTCCTCTTGTTCACGTACATAAGGAACTGTAGTAGATTCCTTTCGGAGCCGAAAATATAAGCAGATTTTTTTTACTTTCCTTACCTTCGCAAATTCTACTAGTATATTTGTAAGAAATAAGAATAATATCTTTTTAATTTTGCTACAGAGACTTTATTTTATCAAACTTTGCTTACAAAACTGTATAAACTCGAGAGCTAAGGAGTTACAATGTTGAAGACTTCACCAGAAAAATATACGAATTAAATATTACATTAACTAATTAAATTACGTTATTTAATTGTAAAAAATCTGTTACATACGCATATCGAACATTTCATACAATTCAATTACGGGATAAAAGATTCGATTTGTTACGGGAATTATCGGATTTAACGCGAAATTGTTCGAAATTTGAGTATCGCCGAACGAGGCGTTTCGGCCTCTTACGTCGCGTTCGATCTCGGTTGAACGAGAAATTGCTACGCGTACACATTATCAAGTGTACGCGGCAATTTCGCACGAGCGCCGTCCTAATCAGAGGCGATCGATCGGTCGAGGCTGCACTTTCCCAACGTTTTGTTTCGAGAAAGAAACTGGGTTTAAACGCTCGCGACTGTCAATTGACGCGTCACATTCTCGCGTTTCCCTATCACATTTTGCGCCGAGTTCGGTGATAATGCGAATCCAGCTCGGATCAGATGACAGACTGAATTATGGTCCCGATGGAGTTCCCCGTTGACGCCTTCTACGAATGAAGGATTAATTTCCCGATCGATAGCAGCCTGTTGTTCCAACAAAGAGCTCTGTATGTTAATGGAAATATAACATTGCATATTGCTTTAACAAGGATCATTGCGCGTTAATCTGGACTGTTGTTCCAGCTTTGCACGTTGTATTGTGTTATATCGCGAATTGTCCCAACCGGGAATTATTGTTAATTAACACATCGATGCTTGGCAGAGGTACGAGGGATTTAATTGCATGCAGACAATGAGCTTGTTCGTGTTGCTTGAAATCCCCAAAAATTCCTGCTTTACTCTAAGAAGAGATGAATATACGTTGGACGTTGGCGAGAGGAAAAAAAACAAAAATTCCAAGTGCAACAAGTGCAAGCGACACGAAGGAACCTAATTTCTCTCGATAGAAGCCACGCGAGTAAACTTCGCGGCATTCGCAGAATCGCATTGCACCAATGAACGCGTGCAATAAGCATTGCGGAATTGGTTCACGATTCGATAAGAGCGTAACGTAAACGAATGATTCTGACTATTCGAATCTCAAGAGCTTAATCGAAAGCGACGCAGGGGGATTCACAACTACGCGTTTATTTGTCACGGTCGAGATGCGTCGTAGAATGTCTCGCGAAATGAGGATTGTATCGAGACACGTTTTTTCGTTATTTTAAAAGTTTGGCACACGCTGTTTCATAAATAAAACTCGAATGAGGATACGGCAACATAATAAATATACGTGACAGCTATAAGAGGGACAAGTTGAAATGTGCCAGGGGTCCCTATTTAAATCTTTAAGGCTTGACAAAATGGGACCACGATCTATTGACCGAGCGGCAAGTCAACGTTTCCAAAATTTCACGTCACGCTGCCAAGAAAGTTAACGAGGAAATTGCTGCAAATACGGAAAGCGAGGATAAGAGAAGCCACGGGGGTTTTTTTTTGCGAAGAGGCATTGTGAGTGATTTTCAAAATTTTTGCTAAAATAAAAAATACCAACTGTGCGTTTATCGAGAAATTTTCCATTAAAATTTAATGCGATGCAAGTAGGGCAGCTCATACATGCATTATTTGTGAACCAATCGTAGCTTTGAGTTATTAAAATGTAAATTATTTGAGCTAATAGCATTCCTCGCGTTTAGACATGTCAACGCAATAACTAGAGCAGAATTAAAGTTCACGCGCTTTAAAATTATGAGATAAAAGATGGGATTTGTTACACGAGGACTGTCCAGCGTGATAAATAAGAGTCAGATGCTGTGACACATAATAAAAATCGACAGTTACCTGTCGAAAATATATGTTGGACAGTTCGTTAACAAGATATCCCGAAATACAGAAGTCGAAAAGATTCGCGTCGAAAATTGAAGAGATGGCGAAAGAAACGTGAAGATGAATAAATTAGAGAGTTTCTCGTGCTAATTTCGCGCGGGGCAATTTCCGGATAGTGCGTGACGACACGATTGGTACGTAATTTCTTTAAAAATTATTTAAATTTACAATAATGTATTTTCTTGAGACTTTCCATGACTTTTGCGGTATGTGATAAAATGATAAAATTGACCAATTTACTTTCACCCTCTGTTCCCCTTTTTAAATATATGTAATATACTCGAACAGTGAAGATAGCTAATGACTCATTAGGGACAATTAGACAACGTTGGATGCTAACTAGGAGCACGGGCCGCGTCGAAAATAGCATCCATGTGTTTCCGTTCTATTCGATAAATGGCGTTTACGAAAGCACCGCGTCGCCAATGACAACATCATCGTAAAGGCTACGAGCGAGGAGATGACTACACTCGTGCGCGCGTGGAAACAATTTTCGCGAACGTGACGGCGTAGAACGGGTTTAGGCCTCCGTCGGGAATGCAACGTGACGTGCTGTGCGCGATTTGTGATTTTTGGCCGGGACGTCTAGTTTGTTTTGTAGAAACGACGAGCGTAAATGTCGGCCGCAACTGCAGCTCACGTGGCTCGTGAATAAATGCCGGGACTGTTCCGTATCGATGATCTTTGCATTTATATGGATAAACATATTTTACATTCATTGGCATTGAGAGGAAAGTAATCAGTTATCGAGAATTATTTTATTGCTATCGGAATTACAGCCAGTGTATCTGCCAAATTGTTTTCTCGCGTGAGTCGCGAACGTTATGTATTGTGTACGTAAAATGTGTGCCACTCGAAATATCATAAAATTAAAGTATCATAATTTAATTTGACACTGTCGATGCACTCGACACGATTGGTATGTAATTTCTTTAAAAATTATTTAAATTTTTAATAATGTACATATTTCTTGAGACTTTCCAGGACTTTTGCAATGTGTAAATGATAAAATTGATCGATTTACTTTCCCCCCCTTTGTTCCCCTTTCCAAATATATACATAATATACTCGTACAGTAGAAATTGATCATTGGTCAAATAAAAAATCGCGATATAACAGTCAAAAAATAAAATTGTTTGCACGTCGGGCCGTTTTTTTGCGCTTAATACCATGATTTTATTTCGATAAACAGGATTATCGTATTTCTACCGTCCCCATAGCGATTTGTCGTACTTAGGGAAACACGATATTTTGAAGATTGAATGGGCGGCGGATATATCGCCCGGGCCGTGGCTAAAGACGCGTTTCGTTAAAAGGTCAGCGTATATATTCGGAAGGCGATACTCTTGTCAGAGCAGTTAACACAATGGTGACAATGTGGAAAGCGGATATTTGTTAACGAACAAGGATATCATATACGGCTGGAAATCGTATCGCATCGCACGCTATTAAGATCTTTTTGAAGACGTCCGTCTCTCATTAGCGGCGGATTTCGCGAATAATTCTATATACTAACGATACCATTGTGAAGAGGCAGTTTTTGCGCAAAATGGAGCGGATCCCTTACACTCAAGAAAAAACACTCAAGTGTTAATACCCGATTGTCCGAATTTACTCTCAAACTTGGGTGTAAATACTTAAGTCTGGGGGTGTTTACGCCCAAATTTGAGAGCAAATTCGGACAATCGAGCGTTAACACTGAAAACTGAGGTGTTTTGTTTCCGTAAGGGATCCCGCGGTTGACGCAATGAATGAAGTGTTGGTCTACAGGCTTGCTTTAAATAAGCTGCAAGCCTCAATCCGTGAGAAATTAACCAACCACAGGCATTTATTCCCCTCACTCTCACCTGTGATTGGTTAATTTCTTACGGCTTAAGGCTTGCAGCTTACTTAAAGCAAGATTGTAGACCAACACTAATGCGTGCACGCAGCAACGTCGCAAGCAGATTCCCGCGCCAATGGCTATATTAGCGGATTCATTACATAATTGGCGTAACGGACGCGGATAATTGCTCGAGCCGATCTCTCGCGAAATAAGACGATTGTAGCGATTGTAGAAGACTCGTGATGCAGCGAGACAGTCAGTTTATTCTGTATGACAAGCGATTAGAGATGCGTTAAACGCGCTAACGAAGGGTCACGCTGGAACTTATATCGATCGCGAAGGCGAGCTGTGGGGAAGAACAACATTGCACGTCGGCCTAATTGAGGAATACAGGCGGCCCTTCAATTCTCGCGCAAATTGATCGAAATTAATCGAAGCGACGGCGAGGACGTGGAATGTCGTCTCGTTAATCAGCGGATGACGGAAACCGCTGTCCATCCGCATTGCCAACCGTAGTACCATCCATAATACATCATTATTACACAAATGCGGAAGATCGAGAACGCGACGGTCTCCCGTTCAACATTTCATTGCTCGATCGCGATCGCATCGTTCGATGTTTGCCCCTTGGAAAGGCGGATGCCCTCGAACGTACCGCAGGAAATTTGAGAAAACTTGCAATTTCAGGTCGACACGAAGGTAAACAGCGGAGGAATCTCATTGTGAGAAACTATTAGAAAAAATATTGACGCTAGACCGAAATCCGCCAACAGCCATCGGTCGTCAGTCGGGATTTCAACCAGGGATCTTCGCGAAAACGTCAATACCGTCCAGAGAAGACGTCGTAATTGCATCTCACTGGATAAATCATCGTCGTCGCGTGACAATTTCAGCTGACGACCCAGAATACTTATTATTCTGCGAGCGAATTAAAGCAGAAATACAGGCAGAGCGAAAAGGGATACTCGAGAGCTGCCGATTCGGCCGCGAAGTCCCAGACAGTAATCTGCTCACTTGACGGAGTCAAGGCGTGTCTTTGCCGATTGTGTTATCCCTTGATACCGATCCGATAAAGGAAACGGAATGATCTCGGGTGCGATTGCGAACGTCACCGGGATCCTTCAAGGCGCGGGGGATTCCTGGAGGCCCCCGAAAGGTGACAGCCTGCAGGAACTTGGTTCCACGGCCGTTGGCGTGAATCCGCAGTACGAGAACTACTCGAGCCCGATCTTCCTCAGGGACGAGAGCGCGTTGGACCGCCGGGACTCCCTGTACATCGTCCTGCCGATCACGGTGATCTACGTCGTCATCTTCTTCACGGGCCTGATCGGCAACATCTCCACGTGCGTGGTGATCGCGCGCAACAAGTCCATGCACACCGCCACCAATTACTACCTCTTCAGCCTCGCGGTGTCCGATCTGCTGCTACTCGTGTTCGGTCTGCCGCCGGAGATGTATTACATATGGTCGCACTTCCCGTACATATTCGGCGAGGCGTTCTGCGTTATCCAGAGCTTCGCCTCGGAGACCTCGGCGAACGCTACCGTTCTCACCATCACGGCCTTCACCATCGAGAGGTGAGTTCCGGAAGATTATACCGCGTGTACCCACATCAAGCCCGACTGGTAAAATGTCATAAACATACGACCCTCGCCGATCCCCTATCCATACCCTGCCAATCAATCGGTTTTTATCTATCGGTATCCCAAGTACCGCGCTTTTTCCCTCCTTTTTTCACGAATCGCGCGCGATAACATATA